CACCTACTACTTCACCCACCCGGGATTTGTTGTCATCACCACCAGTTTCCCTCCTTTCCGCCTTCTTCTCTCGTATCATCAACTCAGTGTTGTTCCGTGGCCGGCCATAGCCCCCTATCGGCCCAATACGTTTTGCGTGAACTGCCGACGTAGCGGCGAACARAGAACTCCGGAATTTCGAAGGCCCAACCCAGGTACGTGGCGGCCCCCGACGGCCCAACTTTTCGGGACCATCTCCACCACAGAGGGATTTTCCCGTAACCCGTCGCCCACAGTGTCCCGGCCCCTTTGGACTGTGAGACCCTTGCGCGCGCACCCCTCATTCGCCCAATTGCATTCATACCCTTAAGACTCCCCCACTTCCCCAAAAATCCTTGGCACACCCCTTTTCGCACTTCCAGGCCCATATCCCACTCCGATCAGGAAGTCGCGCTGGGCGTGAGGTTGGGCTTCACACTCTCTCTCCCCATCCCATATGTGCTTCACTTGTAGCACCCTTCTGGATCCAGGACCTTCCAAAACATCCTGATCCATCCCTTGTCCCAAAAGGCTCTCCGTTCTCCTGGACTATTAGATTGTTCTCAAATGGCAGTTGATTAAGTGTCTCCTCCTTTGAGGTTGGAAGGTTGAAGCTGCGTGGTAGCAGCTTATGCCAAGCCTGTAGTATATCCCTCCAGACGCGTGATTGAGGTCTTCTGTTTGCAAAGGAAGGAGGAAGAAGGCAGAGTCAAACATCCCTTCCATCTGTCAGACCCCACTCTTTCCCCAGTATGTACTCAGCTAGCCTAATCTAGAGTTTTGAAGGGTTATCAAACATTGCCTTTACTGGCCATTTGGCCAGCAAGGCCTCATTTTGCTGTCGGGGGTCCAGGACCCCCAGTCCCCCTTGTTTTCGTGGGAGGGTTATCGTGTCCCAGGCCACCTTCGTAAGAAACCCTGCCCCTTCGTCTGCATCCGGTTTCCATATGTACTTGGCCGCACATCTTTTAATCTGCGCATATGCTGTATCCCCCAATTTTCTGATCGAGAGGGGGAACCATAACTGAGAAAGTCCCACTGCCGACACCACCAAAGCTCTCCCCATTAGGGAGAGCTTATGATTGCGTTGCCAATTGTGAATCCTTGATGTAACCTTGTCTGCCAGTAGGTTGTCTTGTGCTCGCGAGCAATCTGTCAAAGACACTTGGACTCCCAGAAAGCGTTCTGAATTTTCTGTCGGGATCTGCCGCAGACCCCAATCCACTTTCAATACAAAAATATCAGGCAGGAAGTACACAGATTTTTGCCAATTTATAGATGCCTCAGATAATACACAATAGCTATCTATTACATTCTTTAGTTCAGGTAATGCTGATTTCCTATTCTCACAAGCCACAGTCAGGTCATCTGCCAATGCCCCCCCTTTCCATTCCAACGTGGGGGTTAGAGATAGGCCTGTTATCTTAGGATTAAATCTAATGTTATCCAACAGAGTTTCTAATTGTAGCACAAAAAGAAGCGGGGCTAGTGGACACCCCTGGCGAAGAGAACGGGTCAGCTGGAATTCCTCAGACAATTTCCCATTTACCATCACTGCCGAGGTTGCCTTGGAGTACATTGCCTTCACCCAGGTACATCGGTCATCGATCTTTGCTATCGACGGTCCATCTCTTAATTCCCGCAAGTGGGACCTTGCCCCGGGTGAGGTCCACCCGCTCCCAACCGATGGCAACCACAAAAAAAGAAAAGAAAAGAAAAAACAGATCAAACCGTCCGAACCCGCTCCAACCACGGGCGCTCCTCCAGGACAATTGCCCAAAACCGAAACTTCGCGATTGTCGCGGGCGCGCAGTAACTTCCTAGAGCGTAGGTTTTCGTTTCCTTGCCCATGGATGGACCACCCTGATGCCCACGTGGCATCTTTTTTTTTTTTTTCTCTGCGTTGCCGAAGGCCGCAGCGTGGCAGTAACTGATAAAAAAATCGAAGTCGGAAGGTTTTGTGAGCCACAAGCGTGAGTGTCTCCGAAGGTTCTCGTGCTTGGGGCCCTGGTCCAACTTCTAGGTATTCTTCGCTTGTGACCGTTGATCTTCACCGTGAATGGTTAGAAATGAAGAATCTATGGAAGTGAGACCTGGCCTGATGGCAGGAGCAGAATTCCCACCCGCTCCCCGCCTCCGCCTTGGGGTTGCTCCGCCTTGTGACTCTCGTTTGTTTCTGTAGATTCGATCCAGAATAATCAGAACCACAGCGCACGATGCGTCACAGCTGCCCTAGATCACACGACGAATCGACGGTCTAACGCATGCAGCGTTTTTCTGCGTTTTCCAGTTTTTTTGAAACACATGCCATTTGGCGTGGCGGTTGACTGCACTTGTTGAAAATTGCGAAAACCATCGCGCACTTCTACTGCACGAGCTGGTTCGCGCGCGCGAAAAGAAAAGGAAAAAAAAAACAGGAAAAAAAAAGCTGGTGCGCGCGCCTTACGGATGATTCTCCACGATAGGGACACCATCTGACGGTCTAAGTCCGCGATCGTGACACCATCGGACGGTCTAAGTGCAGGCTCACATAAGGACTTTCCTGGATGTATATGACCGCTTTTCGAACCCAGACTGGATGCTCCTGGCTTCAATTACGTCCCCCAGAGAATTTGAAAAAGCTATAGTCTGGATGCTCCTGGCGGCAATTACGTCGAAAAAGGTCTACCGCCGGTAGTCGGAGTATGACCTAAAGCTGGATTGTGCGGCGATCTACCGCGGCCCGGTGACGATCCACACGCGACGATTTTTCTCGGCAGTCTCTATTGCAGCGTGGCAATCTTGCAAACGTGGGCGTCGAATCGCACGCTCCCCGCATATTTAACTACATGCTGAGATAAGTTTAGGTCTGCTGATTGAGCGGTCGCACACGTCTAGCGCCAACTTCAGCGCCGTCTCCAGCGCCATCTCTTCTGCGCCATCTCTCTCGCGCCATCTCTCCCGCGCTATCTCTACCGCGCCACTTGCGGCATCATCTCCAGCGCCATCTCGAGTTCAGGGGACGGAGCTACGCCCATTCCTGCGCACAGCCGTACAGTCACGCTGACAGTAAGCGGTCGTCGTCGGGCGAGCCTGGCGCGTGCCGATCATTGCAGGCTTTTTGCAGCCATTTCCGCGAGATCTGTTTTTTTTTGAAGGGTGCGTGCGAGGGAAGGTTTCTGCTTGCTGGCAGTGCGAGGGAGCCAGGGGGCCAAACTTCTTATCGCGAAGATGCCTCGTTCTTCGAAGGGAAGATCAGGTATGAGAGAGAAATGCCCCTTGTTATCTCTGCCTCGTTGTACGTCTCCGTGTTGTGCTTTACCACCGTTGTACCCAGAGAGAAATATGCACGTTCACCTTTGTCGTGTTTTTTTTCCTTTTTTTTGAAAATCGAGGCGAAGTTGGTGTGCGCACATTGGTCTTCTGTCTGTTGTTGTGGAAAGTGCTTGCTACCCGTCTTCCCCCGAATAGAACGTGCGGTCATCATTTCTGTATGCGGCCTTCGTTTTGTTGCTTGTTGGAAGGTTTCGTCGCTTCGCTTCTCCCTTCTTCCCTCGAATATAACGACGTACGGGCAATATAGCTGTATGATAACCTTCAGTCTAGATACTTTCAAAATCACCGAATAGATGACCGTACGTTCTATTCGGGGGAAAAAGGGTAGACTGCCTCGAAATCCTTTCTGCCTTGCTTTCCTCGTTCGTCTGCTGACATGAAATTCGCTTCCCTGTTCGTTGCTCCTTCCAGAAAATCTACCAGACAGCTTCGCATCCCTTTTAGATGCTTCTTTCTTGTTGGAATATGACCAGATAGCGTCGCAAGTAATATATTCAGCCTCCTGATCATTAGGGAAACTCCGAGGAGACAAGTCTGTCGCAGCCCCCCGTTTCTTGTTCTCGTCTCCCTCTCTGCATACGTTTCACCGGGCAGTTCTCAAGGACGATATATGTACCCATCTATACTAAATGTGTATGTGCATATCTATGTGTGTAAAAATATTATATATATTCTATATATATATGTGCCCCCTGTTCTGTTTTATTTGGCTGTTCCCTTCCTCCTTTCTTTGCCTCTTCGCCTTTTGGCTGTGTGCAAGTGGGTCGATATGACACACGGGGGTGGGGGCAGCCGCCGCTCAACCTACATCCACGTGGGCGGCCTTGTACGCAAGAGGAGGTTCTGAACAGGTGGAGTTGTAACGAAGAAGATACGAAAAAAAAAACGATTAATTTTTTTCTTTTATTCGCTTTTGCGCTCTCATATTCATGTGATGATATATATGTGCGTGTGTGTATGTGTGTATATATGTGTGTATGTATCGCGATGTATTTGTGCGTGTATATATTATCGTGTGTTGTGATGATATGTAGAGGGGTATGTATCGTCATGTAGCATACCCTTATACATGCGATGTGTATATACTAATTGAAGCAGTCTAGTCTATCACAGACTGTCTCCTTTGTCGACGGGGTTTCTTGAATTCCTTGTTCCGCTACTCGCGAAGAGTGGGAACGACGAAGGTATTCTGACGCCGATTGGCGGCAAGACACATACGACGGCCTTTCCTAAGGTCCTTTTTCCACCCCTCGCTAATTCTGAAAACGGCGAATGTATCATGCCACGTTTGCCGACAAGAGACATGCCACTCGGCGTTTACATATTTGGCTTGTAGTGGAACGAAGCCCTACAGTCTTCCCCCGAATACAACGTACGGTCATTATAGCTGAATTCAGACTGAAAGATACCCCAAATTCAGCTATAATGACCGTACGTTGTATTCGGGGGAAGATTGTAGCCAACGGACTCGACTTGTATATCAACGAGCCTAGAAAACTAAGAAAGCCAGAGGTGAAGACCGCAGCACTGGCTGCTACAGCTCTCCCGTGCATCAAGACTAATTACCGTCTTCACCCGAGCACAACGCACCCTCCCGTACGGTTGTACGGGACCGGAAGCATAGCTTGCGTAACACCGTACGAGGAAGCTCTTTGGGTGGGATTATGGTATAGCAACAACGACCAAGGAAGAAAGACGGGATAGCAGGGAGAGAGTCTAGCAGGCGGGAAGCCAGGAGAGAGGAAGACGCGCAAGGAGGGAAAGGAAATACAATTCCCCACAGGAACAGAAATGAACACAACACACACACACACACACACACACACACACAGACAGACACACACACACAAAAAAAAAAAGAAAAAAAAGAAACGAACAACACAACGCAGAAAACACTCCCATTACGTATGACAGGCATAAAGCATAACAAAGTACGCTTGTGTGCGCGGAAATATTTTGCATATGGTAATAAACCTCCGTCTTGTTTGTTGTTCACGCTATTGTGATGGTGTGATTTTTTTCAGGTGGAATGATGAGGCGGCCTGCACCTCCCCCAGCTCCTCGTCCAGGTACGTTTGTGTGCGCGGATGTTTCAGTCCAGTGATTGCTTTTTTTGCGAGTTGTTCGGAATGGCAGAGCAGTATTGCTCGTCAGTTTTGCGAATTTCGTTCGGCTTGTTGGAAAAGTCGTTACGGTGGACCTACTCCGTGTTTTTTCTTTTTCTGTTTTTTGGGGACGGGTTGCGCTGGCGAAGGATGTGTACAGAAATGGACTTTCCACCGACTGGCCTAGCTCCTTTTTTTTTTTTTTTTTTTTTTTTGTTCGACTGCCTAGCTCAGTTGGTACATACCCGTGAACTGTTGAAATACAGACCCTAGTTCGAATCGGGGTGCAGCCAGATTATCACAATGGTCGTTGCCCTCAGGGGTGAAAAAACGAAGAAAGGAAAGAAATATGACGTTTCCCCCCGCCCAACTCTTTGCCTCTTAGATGGAGTGTATTGGAAATTGGGGATAGGATCGGTCGTTGGAGGTAGTGTGGAGAAATGGAGTCTTCCCCTCACCCTATCCTTCTCTTAAACCTGATAATATGTGATGATATGTGATGATATGCGCTTATACATTTATTTATTTGGAAATTACGTACACAATTGGCCGTTGTTTCTGCAAATAGCGTTGAGGAGCATAGAATAATAATGCCCGGACGTTTGTGGTGGGCGGAGGGGCAATTCAGAGCACTTCGGGTCAATTGGGGGCAATTCCCCGAGCTAACTTCCTGTCACGGAGCGAAGAAATTCAGAATTAAGTAGTGTTGGGTGTGGAATTCATTATCTATGCCATCACCATTATCAACCTGTTGTGGCCGCCGCCGTCTGTGCTGGAGGGTGTCCAACATTTCCTATCACGCAGATATTCGTTGTCCCTTCTGTGACTGTTTTGATGGGATGGTCCGTGCTAGCAGTCCTGCTGCTGAATGCTGTGCTGGCGCGCAGCTCTCCTTGGGTATGCTTGTGAACATCCACGGCATCCTCAGCGTGCCTGTCCTATCTACCGGGGTGGGGGCTTCTTCTCCTGACTTGTCAATAGAATCAAGCAGGGCAGGAGCAACACTAATTGCGGGACAGATGAAGTTTTCGACACTACCAACGGATACGGAATTGAAGAAAGAAGGGAAAAAAAAAAGAAAAAATGAACAAAAAAAATGGGAAAAAGAGGAAAGAAAAGAGAAAAAAAAAAGAGAAAAAGAGGAAAGAGAAAAAGAACAAATTGCTGAAGGAAAGAAGAACGAAAACAAAAGAAACGAAAAAAGAAGAATAAATGTCCTTTCTTTGATTGGATCACTTTCTCTTTCTCTTGCCTCTGTGAAGTTTGGTTTCCTCCTTTTCTTTACCTCTTTGCCTTTTGGCTGCGTATAAGTGGGTCCTTGTGACACACGGGGATGGGGGCAAACAGCGCTCAACCTGTCATCCACGTGGCTGGCCTTGTACGTAAGAGGTGATGAACGGGCGGAGCTTTCCTTCTTTCCTTTTTTTGTTATCTTTTTCCGCCTTTGCGCTCTGATTCACGGTGTGACGGTCGTTGCTTCCTTGTCAGGCGTGAAGGTCGTTACTTCCTTGTCAGGCGTGAAGGTCGTTACTTCCTTGTCAGGCGTGAAGGTCGTTACTTCCTTGTCAGGCGTGAAGGTCGTTACTTCCTTAACAACTCGATAAGGACCGTTTTTCTGCAATACACCGTTATCGAACTCGATGAGGACCGTTTTTCTTGTCAGGCGTGAAGGTCGTTACTTCCTCGTTTTCAACGCATCTTCGCGAGCGTCGGTTAGTCTCTTTGTTCTCTTAACAACTGTGTAGAGGAGCGTGAGACCATGGTGGGCAATTGACGAGTTCATGCGCGGCAATTGATACGGGAGACGAACAAGAAGAGGAGTGAAAACAACGGTTATTGACTGCTTCTCGCACAATCTTCAACAGATAAACATTACATCTTCGCATGTTGGTGGTGCGGGCAAGGCGATCTTGGGAATAAGCCCCTTGAGGAGTACCAGGAGCGCAGCCTAAATGCACGTTTCCACTGAGAACAGTGCATGTGGAGATGTCATGTTTATCTGTTGAAGCATGTGCTTGAAGCAGCGGCCAACACTGCTTTCCGCACACTTTTTTGTCCAGCTTTCTCCGAAGAAATCCGCGCCCCTTGAGGAGTACTAGGAGTGCAGCGTAAATGCACGTTTCCACTGAGAACAGTGCATGTGGAGATGTCTTGTTTATCTGTTGAAGCATGTGCGAGAAGCAGCGGCCAATACTGCTTTCCGCACACTGTTTTGTCAAGCTTTCTCCGAAGAAATCCGCATGCATGAGTCTCAGTTATGCGCACATTCCCCTACGCACGGTGTGCAGGGGGAGGAGAGGGAGACTATATACATCCAATTTAGGTAACAACAAAAAAAGAGACGTTCTTACAGTCAACTCGGTGGTTCAGCAGTGGTTCAGAATCACGATCATTTCCTTTTTCAAATCCAGCTTCCCGATCAATTCCTCTTTCACATTCAGGTTCACGATCAATTCCTTTTGCAAATTCGATTCCGTTTTCAAATCCTGGTTCACGGTCGATTCCGTTTTCAATTCCAGCTCCCCAGTCCACTTAGCCGTTTGGTTGAGTGTTTACCTCTTAACGTGGAGGTCGCGTGTTCGATCCTTGGATCGGTGCGGACGGACAGCTTGTTGTCTGGAGTGAGTGCAATTCTTACCTGCGTGGCAACCAGCAGTGAGGTCGTACGTTGTATGGTGGCTACGTCTACACACCCTGGTTGGGTGCGCGTATGTGACTGGGTACACCGGGTCGTGGGGAAAAACGAGTACCCGTGCTGGGGTGGGGTTAAGTACTCATCTTGGGGCTTAACTTTGACCCGGTGCGGACGGACAGCTTGTTGTCTGGAGTGAGAGTGCAATTCTTACCTGCGTGGCAACCAKCAGTGAGGTCGTACATTGTATGGTGGCTACGTCTACACACCCTGGTTGGGTGCGCGTGTGTGACTGGGTACACCGGGTCGCGGGGAAAAACGAGTACCCGGGTCGCGGGGAAAAACGAGTACCCGTGCTGGGGTGGGGTTAAGTACTCATCTTGGGGCTTAACTTTCACCCCAGTCCACTTACTAGCCGTTTGGTTGAGTGTTTACCTCTTAACGTGGAGGTCGCGTGTTCGATCCTTGGATCGGACGGATAGATTGTTGTCTGGAGTGAGAATGCAATTCATAGATCGATTCCTTTTTCAGAAGTTCAAATTCGATTCCGTTTTCAAATCCTGGTTCACGATCGATTCCGTTTTCAAATCCAGCTTTATAGATCAATGCCTTTTTCAAAAGTGCGGCTCAGAATTGGGAGGGGCCTGGTTCAGAATCACGGTCGGTTGTCAGGCTTTGTCCGAAGGAATCTCTGCATGCGCGAGTCTATAAGTTGCGTGCACATTCCCCTATGCACGTGTTGTCCAGGTCGTTCTTCACTTTCAGAGTAGAGAAGCGTGAGATGATGTCCGGCAATTACTTAATAGCCAGAAGGAGAAGAAAACGAAGATAATGTTGAGGAATTCTATAAACAGGTGACAAGTGCCTTTCGCGCACGCTTCTTAAAAAGTCGGTCAGTGCCTTTCGCACACGCTTCTTAAAAAGTCGGTCAATACGTAGCGGCGCATACTGGTGTCAGCTTATGCCCATGTCTCACAACCATGCGTGCGAAGCAACGGTTGCATTCAATACGAACAGAATAATATTGTGTAAAGAAAAGTTAGTATTTGCACTTCGGTCGACGCATTTCTATACCCATGTCTCACAACCATGCGTGCGAAGCAACGGTTGCATTCAATACGAACAGAATAATATTGTGTAAAGAAAAAGTTAGTATGTGCACTTCGGTCGACGCATTTCCTATTTGGTGTGCTGAGTATGGAGTTGAAAGCAAGCCCCAAGGGGTAGTGCGAGTCTATAGTTCCCCTGAGTTCGGATACTCTCTACTGGCCATCAAGTATGAAGCCCATAGCCCCTACTATATGTCCCTCTACTCGCTGCTGGCTACCGTCGCGAGCGGGTGTGCTGATTATGGAGGTGAAAGGAAGCCCCACGGGGTAGTGCGAGTCTATAGTTCCTCCCCTGAGTTTGGATATTCTCTTCTGGCCATGAAGTATGAAGCCCATATCTCTTACTATATGTCCCTCTACTCTCTGCTGGCCATCGTGTTTGAAGTCCACAGCCCCTACTATGGCCATGAAGTATGAAGCCCATAGCCCCTACTATATGTCCCTCTACTCTCTGCTGGCCATCATGTTTGAAGTCCACAGCCCCTACTATATGTCGCTTTACTCTCTCTGGCCATTAAGTATGAAGTCCATAGCCCCTACTATGTGTCCCTCTACTCTCTACTGGTAACGAGTATGAAATCCATAGCGCCTACTATATGTCCCTCTACTCACTACTCGTAACGAGTATGAAATCCATAGCGCCTACTATATGGCTCTCTAACTGGCGGTCGATGTACCGATGAGTCGGGGTACACGTTTTTTTTGTTTTTGTTGTTCAGGGCTGGGCCTAGTGCCACTCCACGGCCTGGGACTTTTCTTTTTTTTTCCTTTGGTGGATGACTTAAGTTTATTGGTGGGGAGCTTCACCTGCTGGAAAATGGGTCCAGCGTCCCTTATAATCAGCAGTAGGAAGGCAGATAACAACAATAGAATCGACTTGCCGGGAACAATATCCGGCTCGTTGCGGAGAGGTCTAGAGTGGTAGCTAAAATTGAAACAGGGAGAAAAGTGACGACCCAGTTAGTTCTGAAGAACTTCAATGACATTTGGAAAGACGGCGTACTTGCCTTCAGAACAATACAGGATTTCTCGTCCTACTCAGCAATCACGCAGAAGAAGGCGGTGATTACGAGTTGTCTACACAGACTCTACCAAATGACTTCGGAGGTGGAACTAATTGGATTGGGACTACTAACCCTGAAGAGACTGCTACGACTGTAAGGAAACCCAGGCAAGTACTTCGACGAGTGCCTGGGGAAATTTATCCGAAGACGAGCGCCATC